TCTCTTTGTTTTACTAAGCTTTTTATGGCACCTGTAACACAATTCGATCATATTTAAGTTCGGAAGATTAGAGATATTACGAGAGAGTAACACACACACACACACACACACACACTCTCTCTCTCTCTCTCTCTCTCTCTCTCTCTCTCTCTCTCTCACCACACATAAACGTATAGATAAGGACGATAGATGTTTGATAGAACAGAAGGAGCAAACCACACTAGAGCACCAGCTATCAACCAACCCCTCAAGTTCTTTACATACATAGTATTTGGTCTGTCCTTAGCTCTTTAACCACCTATTTTTTCCACTTACATCATCATCGTCATCAAGTGCCAGATCTACGAAAGACATCGGCGATCATGATTCTCCATTCATTCCTTTGCCCGGATGTTCTTAAAAAAAAGCTACATTTTCCTGAACTATCCACGTCCCCCATCTGTTCAATCTCCCAAGTAATAATAGATAGCATTTGTATAGCGCAAATCTCCGCTCAACAGCAAGCTCTATGCGCTTCACAATCTATACTATTACCCCAGCAGACCTGAGAGCATTCTGAAACAAACTCAATTTCCTGGGAAGCATACAGTGCAAGCAGCCATTTATAGGCGCTAAAACACTAACATACTGACAAGATCTTTCGCTGTCTATGGCCGGGAACCCATTTCCACATGGGTGAAGTGAGGACAATTCGTGTAAAGCGTCTTTCCCAAGGACACAACGTCGCGCCCGCGGCTCGAACCCCCGAAACCGCAATCTCACGATTAGGAGTCCGGTAGCCTATCCACTGGCCACCGACGCCACGAAAGTAGTCCTGCCGCCTACCTGTTTAGGCTGTTCAATTAGGTTGCTCTGGGCCTACCTTCGCCTCTAACTACACACGAAAAACACTAGAGATCAAAATGAAGTGAACCGTTTTTTGTTTTTTTCTTTCTTTTTTTCCTGTCTCTGGATCAGATGCAAAATCTTGTACGCAATATGTGAATTGTTTCATCGATCCCTGCGTGTCTGCTGTATGTCCTGGCCACCCGGAGGCTACTTGCAAGTGAGTTGTCCAAAAAAATGTGAGGCAGCGTGGTGGAACCAGGCTCTCGTCAAAATAATTAAAGTGAAGAAACGTGCATTTTTCTGCAGGTTTGTGAATTTTTATCAATTTTTTTTTTTGGCTCAACATTTTTCATGCCCATGAAAGAACTCATTTCTGTGGGGATTTTTCTTTAAGACGTTGATTAAAGGAACAAAAAATGTAAATTTTCTGTTACCACGGACTCCTAAGCTAAGGAAGTAGCTAATCTTTGGCGGCCAAATTTTACATCTGAAAACAGGTGACCCCTACCTCCTTCATTTGCAAATATCTCGACTTGTATTAAAGATAAATGGATATTTTTTTCATTCTAATAAAGACTAATGAAAAGGTTTTAAGATGACATCAATAACTGTACATGACGAGGGTCTGATTCCACCACGCTGCCTCACAAATTAATTAAAAGCTATGTGGTTTTTAAAAAGTGTGACATCGCCATCGACACAAGTTAGATCATTCATCAGGCGGGCTTAGGCCCTGCCTTAACGTGTAAACACAGTGTGAGAGAATGTGACGTTCCACCCCCAGAAAGACCGAGATACTCGATACAAATTGGTCGCTTTTAAGGACAAGCGGGCTAACCCAGATTTCGGGTGTTTCCAGAAATCTTGACCTACACCAAAATGGACATTGCCCTACCTATGGGAGAAGTTTGCTTTCATTCGGGTGTAGTATATTTGTTTGGTTATTGAGAAAACTCTCCTTGTCTTTTAAAGAAACTGAACAAGGGGCAAAAACTTTACGTTCAATTTTCTCAAAACTGCATTGAATTTCGGGATAGCCCGCTTGTGCTTAAAAGCGACCAATTCTTCTCACACGAGGTTCGAACTCGATTCTTTTGCTTATGACGCCGAAGCGCCCAACCACTAAATCACAGACACGAGTTGGGTCGTCGTAATGTTGTCATTTAGAAACTACAGAGGGTGGTTGGTGGGTGTTTTCGTGTGGTTTGCTCCTTCTTTCCTATCCAACATCTATCGCCCTTAACTCCCCCCCCCTACTTTTATGTACTTGTAAGTCTCTTGTACCCATAGATGTACACTATAGTACTAGATACAGTACGCCCCTCTCTCGCCTTGCTGCGCGATGGCCACATTAGACCGCGGCGTCCGCCTTGTTTTTTGTGGCAAGTTGTGTGAAGGAGTTCATGCTAAAGCAATGGGCTAGGCATGTTTTTCACTCTCTCTCTCATAATATGCGACAGGCGAGGCTTGGTTCTTGTTGATTTTTTTTTGCACATGGGCGAATCTAAATGAATAAATTGCAATAATGCGGCGTTCTTTCTACAACTAGATATACAAATAAATGTATTATTAAATAGATAGAGATAGAGATATGGGCTTAAAAAAAAAGAAGAAACAAACAGCAACCTTTATTTCTTCATCAGCACTTTATCTACGAGGTGGTTGATTTCTTATTGACTTAATCAAAGCGTATAGGGCCTTTTTAAAAAAGAAGTATGAAAAGATGTGGGTGTCATGGGAACCTCCTATAATAACCACCCCACCCTCTCTCTCCTCCCGAATCCCAATACCAACATCCCCCCGCCCCCCCCCCCCTCAGATATATGAGTTTGGCATTAAATTAAATCAGGATGAGCCATAGGGAAAAAAATTCCAGTTTTTCAGCCATTAGGTGTAGGAATGCAATGAAGCTCTTGATAAAGCAAATTCAGTCAAACAAATGATGAATACATGTACTGGTATTTTTAAAATCGAGTTAAACTTTCCCTTGTGACATTTGAACAGGAAACTGTATTTTTCATTCATATGTTCACTTAAAAAAAAAAGTGTACTAAAATTATAAGTAGTGTTTTCTTATGTCGGTATTAAACTTTGGTTTATATTGATTTTAAGAACTAAAATAGACCATAATATACAGCACTTAAACTGAAGCTCCTTCGATTGCTGTTTTAAGTAAGTCATTAGTAAAACAACTGTGACAACTCTGGACTCACTAAAGATAAAAAAGTGAACTTAAATGTTGTTTTGTAGCCTAGTCAATTGTTCTTCTACACAGTGTAGTGATAACTGAAACAAAAACCTTTACTAAGGTGTTTTTGGACAACATTCAATAAAACAAAACAATAAAAAGTACACTGTTTCAGTTTGATAAAGCAATTTCCTGCCCATTGTGAAAAAGCTGCTGCTAGTCAACCTTAATTTCACATGGCCCAGAACCTTACTGATGGCTCTTTATGTTTTAAAAAAGAAACCCGGAGTGAATATTTGTGTCTATAAGACATATTATGCACTAAAATAGATGATGTAATAAAAGAAAACAGACATCACTGAACTGCCTGACAGAACCAGTAAGACGTTAATCCAGAAATGGACAAGAGGTTTCACATGCTTGCACCTTTAAGAGAATCGCTTTGAATCAAAGCATAACGTTAGAATCAAATAAAACACGTAAGACTAAGAGCAGAGACACGCCCACTCACATGTAAACAAACTTTTTAGCCACATTAAAAATGGCCGCCAACAAACTCAAATGTGTCCGTGTCACGTAACCTCGTACGGACTCTAGTTTAAAAGGGGGTAACTCTATGCTTGTACCACTCTACTCTTCGACACTTAACTGACCTTATTGAGTTGGAAGTGCCGTTAAACTCTTATTAAAACTAAACTAAAGAGTAAGTACACAAAGAAAAAATATAATAATTTTGCCTTATGTAAAAGTAAAGTACAGTCAAATCTGCCCAAACGGCCACCTGTCCAAGACAACCACCTTCACAAACGACCACTTCCAACTTCATCTCTCGTGATTCCTTTATATTGCAATATAGTTTTTTTTATCACAGTTACACTGTCCATGACGCCCACTGTTTAAAACAATCACATCTCTCCTTTACAAATGGTGGCTTTCTAGACACATTGTACAATTTTGACTGCAAAGTTCCCCACACCTCCGCGCATCAAGACGGTCAAAACGGGTTGCTTCCTGTTCCTGTCAGACATTGTTGGGAACCCCCCCCC